AATAATATATTCTTTTTAATTTTTTTTTTTTTTTTAAAAAAAAAAAAAAAAAAAAAAAAATTAATTTTCTTATTTTTGTACCGTTGTTTAAGTTTTTAAAATTTAATTAATTTGACGTAAATGTTTATTTTAAAAAAATATAAAAAGCAATTTATACTATTATTTATAAAAATACTTTTACATAATTTTTAAATTAATTTTTCTATAATTTGCAAATAAAATTAAAATATATATTAAACTTAATATATAAAAAAGAATATAACAAATAGATAAAATGAAAAAAAATATTGCAAGCATTAACCGACTTGTAAATATTAAAAAAAAGAAAAAAAAACGAATTCACCATACATAAAAATTTGAAAAAATATAATTTTACAAAAAAAGAATTTAAAAAAAAAGTCCTTTGTTTTTTTAAAATAAATATAAATTAAATATTTATAATTTATTATTTTTTTTTATTAATATTATCATTATTTTAGTAAAACCAAATAGAAACCTCAATATTTTATAAAAATTAATATGAAACATCGAAAATATTTTATATAAAATAGGAATAAAAATTTCTCTATGTATTTAAATTAAAAAAAAAAAAAAAAAAATAATTAAGAAAAAACACATATATATATCTTAGATAAGATAAAATGAATTTTAAATTAAAAAAAAAGATAGAAAAAAAGAAAAATAAGGATTATAAAAAAGAATTTTGTGAATCAGAGACAAGAATATTTAATAGAGAAGTAAGTTATGATACCAAAAGAGAAGTATTCAACTTACCAAAAATAAATAGAAATGGAATTTTAACATATGATGAAGAAAGCAGTACAATAGAAGAAACAAAAAATAAAAAAAAAGAAAAGGAAAAATTAAAATTAAAAAAACTTTTAGAGAATATAAAAAAAAAAAAAGTAAAAAAAAATCCTATAGAAGAAGAAATTTTAAAAATTACTAACAAAATTAATAATTTACAAGATATTAAAAATATTATTGCAACAACAGCTAATAGTATTATAGCTGATCAAAATCTTAATATTCAAAAATTGGATATTCTATTTTATATTTTTAAAGAAAGCCTAAGAAGAAAAAAGGAGTTTCATAAAGAAAATAAATATAATGTTTCTACTTTTAAAGAAAAATATAAGTACTTTGAAAATATTAATATTCTAAGTTGTATATCTTTATGTACTATTTTTAAGTGTATAACTCCATCATATAAGATTTTTAATACAGATGATGGGAATAGTAATGTTATTGAAAATAATAGTAATTTGAATAATAAAAAAAAAAAAAAAAATCAATTAAAACATTCTTCTAAAATTATCGAAAATGTAAATCAATTAGAGCAAACAATTGTAAAATATTTTAAAGATTTTTGTAATATATTAAAAGAAAACATAAATGATAACACTATTGTTTATGTAAATTTATTATGTGAAATAGTAACAGTTAATTTGTATTTATCAAAAAATGAAAAATTATTTGAATACCTTTTATTATATTCAAATATATACACTTATAAAAGCAAAAAATACAATAAAATAGAAAATAAGAGAAAATTTGAAATTTTATGTATGAAATGCCTAAATACATTGAGTGAAATTATAGAAAATGATCATAATTTATCTTTTACACTAACTTTAGTAAATTATTTCTCCAATTATATTTTTAGAAAGGAGAAAAATATCTGCCCAAATTTATTAAAGATTTTTTCAAACATAAATATATCAGAAAAAAAAATGAATGCAAAATTATATTCTGATGAAGATAAAAATGATAATGAAGGAAAAAATAATGAATTAAAAATGAAAACAAATATATGTGGAGATTTGAAAATAATAGAAAAAAATTCTGAAAAAATATTAGATCAGTTATTTCTAATTTATTTATGTGTATTAAGAGAATACAAAAAATATTCAGTTTTTTTCGTAAAAAATGTATTATATGCTTTATCAAATTATGCATTGTATATTAATAAATTAATAATGGATGATGTGTTAGAAGAGGTCAAAGCACTAGCAAAGGAAAATAAAATTTCACCATCACTTAGAATAACATCTATTCATATATTTTTAAAAATTCTAAATAAAGTTAATGATAATATATATATTGATTGTTCATGGATAGTTAATTGCCTTTTAGATTTACTAGATTCATCAATTCATTATTTTCATACAGGGTCATCCATATTTTTATTACAAAATAGAAACTTTATTTATAATAATTTTTTAGATAGTAATAATTGTTACTCAAATGATAATAATACTTGTGAAATAGATAACAGTAAAAACATAAAACAGATGAATAATTCTTTAAAAATAGATAAATTAAAAGAAAAATATAATTTTAGCTCAGAAGTGTTGTATTGTATTGACCTATTGTTAAAAACCAAAAATTTTACAAATAGTTTTAATAATATAAAATTTAGTAATAATCAATTATTATGTAGAATCATATATCATTTATACAACATTTCTTTACATTCAGATTATATAATTTCTTTTTCTATTTTAAAAATAATTCAATTCATTATGATAAAGTTTCCCTTAGTTAAATGCATGATTGAAAGAGAAGGAATAGTTATTTCTTATATTAATGATAATCTTTCTATTTTTTTTCAAAATATTTTATTTCATTCTTGTCTTTTTAATGAGATATCTTCCATAGCGTTAGATATTTCTTTAAATGATTCGAACGAAAATTATAATACAGTTTTGAAAAATTATATAAATGTGAATAATTGTAATATAAAAAATAAAATTATTAATTTTAATCTTAGTTTGAATGAAAAGAAAATAATTGATGAAAATATATTAATGAAATATGATTATGACAATATTTTCTATAAACATAAAGAAAATTATAATCAATTCAATATAAATGACAAAAACAATTTTAAAGAGTCAATTGATAAATCATTTCTTTCAAGTAATAATTTGAATGAAAATTTAAATGTTAATAATCTTCCTCCATATATGCTAACTGCAATTGATTTCATTGATATAGTTTTTTCTCCATACGATAAATTTATAAAATATTTTCAAAAAGAAAGGGGAAAAAATGAAAGTACTATCAATAACAATTATAAATATAAAAATTATAAAGAAGATAGACAAAATGAAAATCAAGAAAAAAAATATAAAAATTTTAATAAAATAAAAAAAATAATTAGAAAAAAAAAAAAAAAAAAAAAAAAAAAAAAAAA